CAGCATTAACTTAGAGATGTGACAAGGAGGCAAATTATAGACAATAACAAAAACAAAAACATTCGAGAACCTTACGTGCAACCCGCCCCCGAGTTGCCAATTCTTACTGAAATCATCTAACACTTCACACTTGCATTTATTTAAGATTTGTATGTTTTTTTATGTCTATTTCAGTCTTCAAAACCACCTGCCGTTATATCTCTAAATAGCCTCGGTAGATGAAAGTGCTTCAACTTGGGGAGATTTATAGATTCTTGACCCGTCCCCCGACCGTGCGACAGAATAGCTCGAAAAAAGTATCGAATTCCACTTTGCGTTCGAATGCCTTTATTTACTTATTAGACAATGATGGTACGTGTCACTCTACACCTAACATAATGTTTTAAAGGTTGTGATTTGGAGAGAAAACTTAATATTCGTATTATCATTAAGGGCGTTCTTTTTATTTTGTAAAATGGTTTCGTATGAAATGAAACAAAAAAGTGTTCTGTCGAATAAAACATCGGTTTGCGTTGGAGTTCGAATCCCTTTATCTCTCTTATCTTTACCATTTAGTTTAATCGCCATTACTTTTATCTTATCATCGGATTGAAGCATTACACTACATTTTCCTTAATCTTTATATTTTGTTCTGTTTCGTTCCAAGGTCATCTCTTTTTTCGATCAATAAATATCATTATATTTATGTATTTCGTTTTTTTTTCTTGATTTTGTTATTGTAAATTATATTTTCAAATTCTCGTTATTATCTTTGTCATTCTTTTCAGTACGTGTATGTATGTGAGGGCGCGTGTGTCCTTATGTAAATGTAAATATAAAGCTAAGTAGCTAGGTAGATGCACAGATGGACATATAGGTAGATAGACACACCTAAATCCGTGTGTGCAGCCACTAACCCCGCGCGTGTTCCTTGCAGCCGACACGGCAGAGAAACCGAAGGCGGAGACGCCGCAGCAGGAAGCGAGGCCGCAGGACCTGATTGAGCGGCGGCACGTGGAGGCGGCGCTGGCGAAGGACAAGGGCCCCGACGCTCGCCTCGTGTCCTGGGCCGTCAAGGACTTCACGCAGAAGGGCGACAACATGGCCACGTGCGTCACGAGCGTTGAAGTGACGTACTCGACGGACGCCGCCGAGGACCGCCGCGTGTCCTACGTCGTCAAGCTCAATCCGCAGCGAAAGGTGGAAGGGATGAACATGATCAGTGACATCATGGAGAAGGAGATCAACTTCTACACGGACATCTTGCCGGACCTCAACGGCGCCCTGGAGCGCGTGGGCGTGAGCAGGCTGCGGGTCCCCACGTTCCTCTTCGCACAGGGCGCCGCCGGAAGCGAAATGATCTTCTTCGAGGACCTTCGCGCCCGAGGATTCAAGATGGCGGACCGGAAGTTGGGCCTGGACGCCGCGCACGCGCACCTGGTCTTCAAGGAGCTGGCGAGGTTACACGCAGCTTCAGATATCCTGAAGAAGTCGTATGGAGATCCGACTGAGCGACATCCGCTCCTCAAGAAGGACTGGATATCGAGCACGGGAGAAGAGCGGGATTTTATGCAGAAGATAATGACAAACAATCTGGAGGGAGCAGTGAAGCTGCTGAGCAAAATCCAAGGCTATGATAACATCCTGCAGTGGACTATTCAGAACCAGCCAAGGAACATGGACTTATTTGAAAGCCAACTCGCGGCGGAACCTCCTTTTCAGGTCATTTGTCACGGAGACTGTTGGAGCAATAACTTTCTGTTTAGGTAAGTCGTTCTTTTCTTTTCTTTTCTTTTTTTGTGTTCATGAAATCGTTTCTATTTAGACTGAAATGAAAATTATGAACTCTCCTACATGTACTGAAGGCTTCCCAATGAACAAGGATTCACTCAAGGCAGCGATCTCGCCCTCACAGGTACGACGACTCGGGCGCGCCGGTGGAGGTGATGCTGCTCGACCTGCAAGTGACCCGCTTCGCCTCGCTCGCCACTGACATCAACTACTTCTGCTTCTCGGGCATAAACGGCCCACTTATAAGCAGCAACGTGCAGGACTTCCTCGCGGCCTACCACGCGTCCTTCAGCCAAGTGACGGAGGCAGCCGGTCACCGCGTCCCTTTCAGCCTGGAGGAGCTTCGACAGGAGTTCCGAGACAAGCATGTTTTCGGGCTGTTGATCAGCCTCATGGCCATTCCTTTTATCGTCATGAGTTCAGACGATATGCCCGAGGCCGACGACTTCTTTAGCGGCGAAGAGAATGATAAAATCCAGCAGAAGATCCTGGACTCGCTGGACTCGAACCCCTTGCTGCGGCCGCGCTTCTTGTCCGTCCTCGACTACATGACCGAAGCGGGGGTCGTCGACTGAGTTCGAAGCGGCGTTTCAGGGAGGCTCGCCACGGACCTCGTGCAAGAGCGGAGCCTTTGTGAACCGAAGAATGAAGGGTCTTCCTTTACCTACTAATTTTGTAAACGAAGTCATACACATAAACACAAAATCAGGCAATATTTATCCGTGTTTCCATCAAGATTCGAATCGTAAGTCTCAGGTTTACAAACCATGTCTCCATTCTTTGGAAATTGTGCAATGGAATTTTGTTTCTGAGGGTAGTAGTGTAATGTTTCAGTTTACTGAATGGTCTTTCATCAATGATGAATAAGTTTTGTGAAAAAAAAACGTGTAAATGGAAGATATAATTACAAAAGGCGATTCGACTTCACGCAGTCGTGTGCAAAGGAATTCAGTTCAGTATCGTATCTAATTTGTACTTTGTACTTTTGTATGTGTTAGAGAAAAAAATATATAGCATAAAAGTAGTTATTAAAAAGTAGCTTGTATGTTTTCCCGTGTTTCTGATTGGATACACACACACACACACACACACACACACAACACACACACACACAATATATATATATATATATATATATATATATATATATATATATATATATATACATATATATACATATATATATATATATATATATATATATATATTTCTTGTTTTTCATACGAAAGCACAGACATGTGTAACACACACACACATCACACACACACACACACACACACACACACACACACACACACACACACACACACACACACACACACAACACACACACAAACACAAACAAACGAACACACACATAAACGCACACACACAGAAAAGAAAAACACACGAGACCCGTTAATATATAAATTTCTATTTACATCGTGTTGAATTACACACTAGTATTTTTTTTCTGGACCTGCGGGTATTATTCAAACAGTGAAGAAGAAAGTGTTCTCCACAATTTTTGTGGCTGTTCAGAGTTTAAAGACTAATTCTAAATATTTATCTGGTTTTGGGAGCAAAGACCACTATCAACATTTATATTTGCTTGAATTCTCTGTTGAAAATGTCGACTGTGATGTTTTTGTTTCGACTAGACAATAGTTTTTGAAAAAAAAGAAAAAAAAACGAGATTGATATAATGATTATATCACATTTATTCCTTAATATTCCTTTGAAGATTCCTGTCTGACAGATTCCAAAAATTATGATCGAGGAAGGTGTTCAGAAAGAAGTTGTCTCGATATGAAGCTAAGCTCTATAATTTTTTTTTTTTTTTTTCATTTTTGTCACAATAGATGCTGGAAAAATATATATCGTGTCTTCTAGTGACTAAGTTGTCTTTCCTACTTACATGCTTATCTAAAGTTTCATACAATGAACATGTTCCTATTCCTCCTTTTCATAGCAGGAACATATTGAAAAAGTGGTAGGCCCATCTTTAGAAAAGTAATACGTGTTTTTTTTTTCTATATTTCTTTGTAAAGTTCGAAAATGTAAGTTCTGTTGGGAATTACTGGGAATGCAGCCGGCCTACTTTCTTAAAGTAATATGGTTTACTTAAGGTTTCCAAAATATAATCTATTAGGATCTCCTGAGGATACTGTGTCTACCTTTAGGAAAGCAATGTTTTCTTCGGCTCTCAAATCAGATCAGGTTCTGCCACCGAGACAGGCTAGAGACCTCTGTTCTTTCTCCCTCACATGTGTTTTTGTCGTTTTTTTCACTATTTAACCGCGTCCTCTCCTTCCTTTGATCACCCTTCACAGTAATCACTGAATCAGCTTACAGTGCCTTAACACGTATCCAAGAATTGCCTTTTCTCTTTCGCCATTTCTGACACTATTGACTTTTTTTTTTTTTCTTAGCTTCCTCTTCGTCTACATCATCACATTTCGAAGGCTTCTAAAGGTTCCTTGGTATTACCTGCAGTCAACTTCCCACGTCTCTGCTGCACCCAGGAAATCGGACCAAAGCACAAACATTTGATTATCTTCGTCACGTTTTTCTTTGAGTTCGACACAAACATATATTTTAACCTTATATTCTTTTTCGCTTGAGGAATTCTGGAATTGTTTTACACCTCGTGACTTTTATCAGCTCGATCTCTTCTTCGATGTCATTCATATAAGTGTCACAGCCTTGGTGGTATTTTCCTCCAACACTTCCTTTAGTGATTTGCTTACTACTATTTGCAGCGTCTTTTCCTCATTTTCACTCCATACTTCTTTTTGGCGCTGTTTACCTGGTCTAACGGCGTACATTCATTGTCTGTCATTAAAACGGTATCGAGGGCTTATCTAACGTCCCTTATCTTTGTTTCGCCAACAGATATGCCCATTTCCTCGATATGTGCCTGCCCTAAAACCTCACACATTAAAATAAATGGATAATTTTGGAGAAAGAATCAGCATCGTTCTGTTCGTCAGAACCCATTCCAGCGGTTCCCTTGGTCTCGCTGTCACATTCAAGGCTCGATTTTGAATGATACGCTGTTCTCTCTCTCCCTCTATCTATCTATCTGTCTCTTCTCTCTCTTCTCTCTCTTCTCTTCTCTCTCTCTCTCTCTCTCTCTCTCTCTCTCTCTCTCTCTCTCTCTCTCTCTCTCTCTCTCTCTCTCTCTCTCTCTCTCTCTCTCTCTCTCTCTCTCTCTCTCTCTCTCTCTCTCTCTCTGTCTCTCTCTCTCT